TTGGCGGATCGCTTTTCTGGGGGTAATAATTCCTCCAAAAACAATAATAATAATAATTCGGTTCCCTCAACCCACGAGTGTGTGTGTGGAGCCGCGTTTCACCCACAAATACACAATCACTACACTTTTGCAGTATATTCTGTGAAGCGCTTTGAGACGTGATGAGGCGCTGTGTCAAATGCGAGGACTATTATTATATTATTATATTATATTATGTATATATATTATATTATTATAATCCCAGTCTCCTGAGGCCTGGAATTCCGGCTGGTCTTGGGCTGTGAGGCTGTTTTCTGACGGCCCCCGATACGGTAGACTGTCTCTGCGGCCGCGTTCCTTCACGGTGTTGACAAGCTCCACATCCTGGGGAGCCCCCAACGTCAAGGCAGGGCAGTCTCGCAGCCTAAGACTGGGTGGAATTTCAGGCCTCAACTATAATAATAACAACAATAATAATCCTTGTTACGTCTTCGAGACGTCTCTGAAGATGTGAAGCGTAGTGACTGTGCATTTCGTGGGCGAAACCCAGCAGCCAATCGCGCACAGCGGCGAGCTCCAAAATCATGGATTGAGTGATCAAATTATTGTTGTTTTTGAAGGGCTTTTTACCCCCGGAAAGTGATCCGCCAATCGACTAACAACCGGGTTCCCACTTACTGTTGGTAAACAGAGGTGTGTGGTGTAAGGAAACTCGCCTGAGGTTTCGCTCTGATCTGCCCGGGACTCGAACCCGGGTCCTCTCGCAATAGATCCTGTTAAAGCCTTTGAGACGTCGCAACAAAATGATAGGCGCCATATCAAATGCAAGGATCATTATTATTAATATTATTATCGTTGTGAGACAGGTCACATCAGTGCTCTTCCCCCCCCTGGGTTTGACGGGAATGTGAGCTGACGGGTGGTGGGTGTCAGAGACTGAGGGGATTACACGATCTCAGGCTCAGTCTGAGCCCAGACACCACGTCAATCTCCCTCGCTCACTCACTCGCTCTCAATCAGCCTCTCCCGCTGTGATCCTTCTCTGACCTGACTCCGTAACCCCCCCCCTCCCACCTCTCCCCACCCCTGGGGGGATTATCAGCCTAATGGAGGGCATGTGGTGGGATTAGGCTGTTTTCAGGGAAAAGCAGCGGGTTTCTATAAACGTATTTGCTTCCCGCAATTTGCTTATCACACATCGTTAATAAGCCTCAGAGCGCTTCACAGGGTCTCGCTGTAAAGCGCAGTGACTGTGTGTTTTCCTGGAAAAACACGGCAGCCAATTTGCACACAGCAGTGTGCGACAAACAGCTGTGAGTGAACGAACGATTCTATCTGTCGACCACGACTCCAGGAGAGAGAGTAACTCCCTCCTCTTTCCCATGTTATTATTATTATAAATACAGTCAATTCACTTTACAGTGTATCCTGTGAAGCGCTTTGAGACGTCGCAACGACGCAATGAGGCCCTCTATCAAATACAACAACAACTTGCATTTATAATAGCGCCCCTCAGGCAGCGTAGAGTCCCAGAGCGATTAACTGCATTGGGGCGGCAGCTTAGACTGCCACTCCAATTTGTAGGGGTTTGAACCCCCATAACCTTCTGACTCAGAGATGAGAGACTGAGCCAGACTGAGGGTCAAGCCGTTGATTTGACAGACAGGTGTTATCATGCTGTGCCAATCAGCGGGGGGGGGGGAGTGTGGGGGGGTGGGGGGCTGACATGTGTTTGGGGGATTTTCCCCCCCACAGGGCAGAGTTTGCTAATTGTCTTAATGTCTAATCCACTTGTGACTCTGCAGATCAAAGGGAGGAGTGATGGGGTCTTACACAGGGTCCGACCTCCACAGATTAGCCGTATGTTCATCAGACTTGTCGCTCACTATTCAATTGCAATTTCGGCTCAAGCACTGAGACCTCTGACTAGGATCAAGGCTTCGTTCTTTCTGGTCAGCCGGGTGTCTGACACACACGGAAACCCGTCACCGTGACCGGCCGGGTGTCTGACACACACGGAAACCCGTCACCGTGACCGGCCGGGTGTCTGACACACACACGGAAACCCGTCACCGTGACCGGCCGGGTGTCTGACACACACGGAAACCCGTCACCGTGACCGGCCGGGTGTCTGACACACACACGGAAACCCGTCACCGTGACCGGCCGGGTGTCTGACACACACGGAAACCCGTCACCGTGACCGGCCGGGTGTCTGACACACACGGAAACCCGTCACCGTGACACACACACGGAAACCCGTCACCGTGACCAGCCGGGTGTCTGACACACACACGGAAACCCGTCACCGTGACCAGCCGGGTGTCTGACACACACACGGAAACCCGTCACCGTGACCAGCCGGGTGTCTGACACACACGGAAACCCGTCACCGTGACCAGCCGGGTGTCTGACACACACACGGAAACCCGTCACCGTGACCAGCCGGGTGTCTGACACACACGGAAACCCGTCACCGTGACCGCCGGGTGTCTGACACACACACGGAAACCCGTCACCGTGACCGGCCGGGTGTCTGACACACACACACACGGAAACCCGTCACCGTGACCAGCCGGGTGTCTGACACACACACGGAAACCCGTCACCGTGACCGGCCGGGTGTCTGACACACACACGGAAACCCGTCACCGTGACCGGCCGGGTGTCTGACACACACGGAAACCCGTCACCGTGACCAGCCCGGGTGTCTGACACACACGGAAACCCGTCACTGATCTATGCAATGCAAAGATCATTATTATTTTCTTTTGATAAACACACGTGAAGCGGTCGACACAAGGGACTTTGTAAAATGACTTTTCTCATATTGAAAGAGACTCTGAGGCAGAAGTGGAATAAATCTAAAGCGATCCTCCCACTTCCTCAGATATTACATTTCCTGTCGCTGACAATATTGCAAAATATTTATGATTTAATCACAAATAATATGAGAATGTGGGGGTTGGAATCGACTGGGGATTTCCAAACAATAATACCAAAATAATAATACCATCAGGTAGCAAAGACGTCTCAAAGCCCTGCACAGGATTCCCTGTGAAGTGTAGTGACTGTGTATTTTGTGGGCAAAACGCAGCAGCCAATTGCGCACAGCGACGTCCCCACAAACAGTCGTTGATTTGGTGACCCAATTTTATTTGGGGGGATTGTCGGGCAGGACACCGGGAGAGAGACAGACACAGAGAGAGAAAGAGAAACTCCTTATCTTTTTTCCCACAACACCGCAAGATCTTTAACGTCCACTGAACAGATACAGACGGGGAGTGAGGTTTAACGTCTCCTCCGAAGGACGGCGTCTCCGGCACTGCGACACCCCCCCCCCCCCCCCACCCCCAGCGCTGCACTGGAGCGTCAGCTTAAGACGCCCTGACAGTGGGGGCTTGAACCCACAATCTTCTGACTCAGAGACGAAAGAGAGAGAGAGAGAGTCCGACTGAGCCGGGCTGACACGGCCGGATACCGTTCTCCAGATGTGAGCTGCTTTTGAACGAACAAGTGAAACGAGGACATGTTTTAAATAACGTGCGGAATGCATTTTTATTCAAATACCAAAATATACATTTCACTTGACTTCGGTGACCGCTCGGAGTGGAACTCTAACATCAGACTTATATAAAAACTGTACACGGACATGAGTTTAACCTAAAGCCTTTGAACAAATAATCTCGCAGGCGCCTGGGGGTGAAAAGGGGAGCGGGGGGGGGGTTGGGGGGAGGGAAGGGGAATACACCCTTTGTTCCAGTTTTTGTCTCTTCCATTCCCGACAATGGTGGGATTCGGTGGGGACAGAGCCCGATCGCTCCCTGATCCGGATCACTCCTGACCCAGCGCCGAGGTTAGGAGATTCTGAACTGATTGACTTTCTCTCTTCTTCTCTCCCCTTTCTCCCACCCTCTCTGTCCCCCTCGCGCTAACCCCACAGCTCTCCATCTCACTCACTCCCACCCCGGGGAATGAATCACTCTGCCGCCCCCCCACCCCACCCCCCCCAGACCTCAGAGAGTGCAGACACAGGTTGGCAAAGTCTCTGTCACCTTGTGTCCCATCCGATTTAGTGACTGTACGTGTGTTTCATAGTCTTACTTCCACTACGTACTTATAATCTTTACAATCACGTCAGGAGGGCCTTTCAACTCAGCACTTTACTGTAAAGTGTAGTGACTGTGTGTTTTGTAGGCGAACCCAGCAATTTCCCGCCAACCTCTCTCTCTTCCTCATCCTCCTCCCCCATCAAACGCCATCATTTTTGGACCCTCTTCTGTACTTTGACGCCATCCCTTGTAACAATAATAATCACCCGTGAATCTATATGGAAATTCAACTCATTTGGTACAAAAAGTTTTCAGACAGATTATATTAACAAAAAACACTTCTACACACAACAGCCATCCTCCCATCGCAGTGTAGAAATAGGCTGTTTCTACATCACCGTGACCGGCCGGGTGTCTGACACACACGGAAACCCATCACCGTGACCGGCCGGGTGTCTGACACACACGGAAACCCGTCACCGTGACCGGCCGGGTGTCTGACACACACGGAAACCCGTCACCGTGACCAGCCGGTGTCTGACACACACGGAAACCCGTCACCGTGACCGGCCGGGTGTCCAAACCAGACTGAGAATTCCACATATGTACACTGCCAATGTACACTTGGAAATTTCCCCGTCTTGAATGGAATGTGCTCTCTCTCTCTCTCTCTCTCTCGCATTCACGCCTTCATTCATTCATTATCTCACTCACTCACTCACTCGTTCATTCATTCAGTCACTCGTTCAACAACAACAAAATGACATTTGTATAGCGCCTTTCACGTCGGGAGGACATCCCAAGGCTCTGTTTCCCTCACTCATTCCCTCCACAACAGGGAGTGAGCGAGTGACCAGCGTTCCCCTCCCCTCCCCCGTTATAATAGCGTCTCTCTCTCTCTGGTCTCGGGGGAGAGGGGGGGGATACCCCGCTGCCCCTCCCCCTCCCCCCCCTCTCCCCCCCTCCCCCTTACATGTGGTGCCTTCGGCTGCGGTTCCTCTTCAGCTCCTGGACGTGTTTCCATTTGCCGGTGTTGCCCCGGGGGCGAGACCTCCGTCGCTCCCTCAGCCACAGCTGGTGACAGTAATCCTCGGCCGGGAAGCTGCGGACCCCCACCTGCTGCACGTAGTCCTTGTAGCGGGGGGGCCAGGGCTCGGCAGGGAGCTCCCAGGCTCTGCCAGCCCCCTCCTGCCCCTCGCCAGCCTCGCCCGCCCGCTGGGCCCCCGCCATGTGACCGTTGGTGATGACCTTGAGCTGGAGGCTGGCGATGGTGCTGGTGAAGGACTGCTCCTCCCCGCGGCAGTGATACAGCCCGGCGTCCGTGCTCCGCACACTGCGGATCAGCAGCCCGTACTCCGTCTGGATTATCCGCTCGCTCGCCTTTACCTGCGGCGGGGGGAGAGGGGGGGGGAAAAGCAAGAAAATAATCACAAGTAAATTAGCTGCTTCGTTTCATCCACAAAACACACAGTCACTTCACTTTACAGTGTGTCCCGTGAAGCGCTTTGAGACGTCTCGACGACGTGACGATGCGCCGGGTCAAATGCCAGGATCATCATCATTATTATTATATATTATTGCATTTTATATCCTCCATCCGACGGACTCACTGATAACCGTGTACTTGCTGCAGGACGTCTCAAAGCGCTTCACGGGATACACCGTAAAGTGTGTGTTCTGCGGACGAAACGAGGGGGGCGAGTGGGTGGGGGGGGGAGCCGATTTGCGCCCAGCGAGGTCCCCGCAAACAGCGGTGAGGTGAGCGAGCGATGTTATCTGGTGGTGGGGGGGGGGATTGGCACCAGGACACCGGTGGGGGGAGAGAGAGAGAAACTCTCCAAGTGACGGCATCTCTTCTGACTGTCCCCTTCTGCTCACACACTGACCGTTGGGGGTGGGGGGGGGCGCGGGTGGGTGGGGGGGGGTGTGAGTTATGCTTTGAAGCCTGTGTTGAGTGGGAAAGGGCAGCTGAATCATTTCAGCCGGAGTCAGAGGTTAATAACTCGGAGCTTAATTTGCCCGCAATTATCCGGACGGACGGTGGGCATTCCCACCTGTGGATTATAATCCCCGGTTCTCTCCCAGACGCACTGCGGATGTGGTGAGGCTTAAAAGGCCTGAGCACCAGCGCAACAACAACAACAACTTGCACTTGCGTAGTAGTGTCTCGGAGCGTGCGGTGGGGGTTGGGGAGAGGGGGGGTGGGAGAGACAGAGAGAAAGAGAGAGAGAGAGAGAGAGATGGATTGAGAGATGGTGGGGGGGGGTGCGAGAGCGCGTACGGTGGAGTGAGAGAAAGAGACAGAGCGAGAGAGAGAGAGAGAGAGATTGTGCGCGAGAGACAGAGTGAGAAAAACAGATGGAGAGAGAGAGAGAGAGAGAAAAAAGAGAGTGAGAGATGGAGTGAGAGAAAGGGGTGGGGAGGGGGAGAGTGAGAGAGAGATGGAGAGGAAAAGAGAGACGGAGAGATGGAGGGGAGGAAAAAAGAGAGAGAGAGAAACAGAGGAGGGAGGGGGGTCCGACCACTGTAGTCCTCTCAAGTTTAAAGCGTGTCCGGTCTGGGGTGAGGGGGGAAAGTGTTCAGACCTCAATGACAGGAGCCGTGGAGATGACAAAACACACACAGTCAGAGCATCGGAACTCACTGTTATTCTTTCCCACACAGGAGCTCGCTCCCCGCTGAGCCTCCCACCACCCCTCACCCCCCCTCCCCTCGATAACCTTCTCCCACCCCAGAGACCTGCCCTTTCCCAACAGCTCCGCAGTCTGGAAAAAGAGTGGCCAAACAGCAGTGCACACAGCATCCCTCACCAAGTCATTCCTTTTCTCTCACGACCTCCGCTCACCTCATTCCCCCCCCACCCCCCACCCCTCCCCACCCCTCCCCTCAGCCCAGCCCTCCCCATCCGCACCCCCGGGGGGCAGGGAGAGGAGAGAGCTCACAGGGCACCTCACAGAGGTGGTGTGTGTAAGATTTCTGGAGTCCCTGTAGCTCAGCGGTTGCAGCACTCGTCTCGCAAGCGAGAGGACCCGGGTTCGATTCCCAGGTCAGGGCGAAACTTTAGGCAGATTTCCTGACTTCACACACACACACACACACACACAACACACACTCCTCTGTTTATCAGCCGTCAGTAGGAACCTGGTTGTTAGTCGAATGGAGGATCGCTTTACTGGGAGGAAATAATCCCTTAAACCAAATTGTGCCACTCAACCCACGGCTGTTTGTGGCGGACGCTGCTGTGCGCGATCGGCTGCCGTGTTTTGCCCACAAATATACGGTCAATTCGCTCTACAGTGCATCCTGTGAAGCGCTTTGAGACGTCTCGAAGACGTGATAAGGCGCTGTGTCAGATGCGAGGTTTATACGCTAAGGTTTCGCCCGGACCTGACCTGACCCGCCCGGGAATCGAACTCAGGTCCGCTCGCTCGCTCGCGAGGCGAAGGCGAGGGCTCTAACCCCTGAGCTACAGGGACGCCACAAATTACTGGGGTACAACGTGTCGTGCTTCATGACCTTGTGCTATCAACACAAAGTGGTTGGTGTGGGGGTGGGAGGGTGGGAAGGCGATGAAACATCCCGAGCGTTGGCTGGGAGAGAGGGGAGGGGAAGAGAGGGGGGAAGAGAGAGAGAGAGAGAGAGGGGGAGAGGAAAGAGGAGAGAACAGAGACATTGACTCGATCAAACCAGACCTGGATTGTCAGCTGGGAAATTACAGTAAAGGATCAAAGGCCCGACAAGCGAACAAGCGGGAAGTTGTGCGAGGGGGGTGGGGGGGGGGTGGGGGGGGGGGGGTGCAGGGGAGGTGGCCTTGGAGGCCAGATGTGATTTGGCTTAAGTTCAGTTCTGTGTAATTATTTTGGAGGGTGTGTGTGTGTGTGTGTTTTTTTTCCCTTTGCTTTAACAGCCCCCGGGGGGGGGGGGACGTGCGATAGATAGATCACTGCAAAGTGAGCAGGAGATCTCAATCTTTCCCTCTGCTCACGGCTGCTTCGTGTTCATAAATCGCGCCAATCGAGAAGCGGTCCCGACCCCCTTCTACTGCCCCCATCGTTCCCTCCTCGCTCAGCCGAGGCACTACCCCACGCGAAGGGGCGTTCTGTCAATGATAACAATCGTAATGATGACAATAAACCTGGCACCTGACCCAGCGCTCTGACCAGGTCGTCGGGACGTCGCAAAGCGCTTCACGGGATACACTGCGAAGTGCAGTGACTGTGCATTCTGCGGACGAAACGAACGTGTCAGGCAATTTGTGAGGAGGATTGTCCCACAAACAGCAGGAGTTGTCAGACCCTGAACAGCGTTGGCAACAACAAGTCGTGTGGTTTCAAGTTAAATTCCAGTGGTTGCTCTTCACCGCACTCTTTGGGGTCCCCTCCCCGAGCCTTGGCTCGTGCCAACCCGACTGTCCTGTATCAACTGCAGGGATTATCATTAATATTGTTATAATCCTGTGGGCTTTGGCTGTGGAGATTCAGGGAAGCAAAGGAGCTGAGTTTCCATCCAAACCCAAACAGACAAGGAAACGCTGGCCTCGGTGTCGAGCTGAGGCCTTGGTTTGTGGGAGTGTGGCGGGGGGTGGGGTGTGGGGGGGGGGGAGTGCAGAGCAGAGGAGGGGAGGGGAGAGAGGAGAGAGGAGATGAGAGCTTGCAGTCTTGTTCTGCCCCTGAGGCAGCAAGCGGTGGAAGCATTTACCAGGTCCTCACAGGAAGTCAACATTAACAGCTCAATTACTTTCCAGATTCTCGTCATGCGTCTTTCCTGACGGAAAAGTCTGTTGCTTCGTATGTCCCTTTTATGATATAATGATAATCATAATAATCATCATCATACGAGTCCCGTAGCTCAGTGCTTGGGAGAGCGCTCGCCTCACGAGCGAGGGGCACGCGGGTGCGAGTCCCCGCCAAGGCGAGACCTTAGGCAAGTTTCCTTACTCTACATCAAGTCGCTGCCGTCCAACACAAGGATCGTGGATATTTCTATTACCATCCTCGCATTTGACACAGCGCCTCATCACGTCATTGTAGACGTCTCAAAGCGCTTCACAGGATACACTGCAAAGTGTAGCGACTGGGCATTTTGTGGGTGAAACGCGGCAGCCAATTGCGCACGGCAGCGTCCCCCACGAACAGCCGTGGGATTGAGGGACTATATTATTATTATTTTTTAAGGGATTATTACCCCAGAAAAAGTGATCGACCAATTGACTAACAACCGGGTTCCTGCTGACTGCTGGTAAACAGAGGTGTGTGTGTGGGGGGAGTAAGGAAACTTGCCCGAGGTTTCTCCCCGCCCGGGGAATCGAACCCGGGTCCTCTCGCTTGCGAGGCGAGGGATCTAACCACTGAGCCACACTCAGTCGCTCACACTCTCGTCTCCAGGTCAGGAGGCTGTGGGTTCCAGCCCCAGGTCGGGACTTGAGCTCCAACACAGTGCTGGGGGAGAGAGAGCCCCACATTGTCAGAGACGTCGTTCTTGGGGAGAGACGTTAAACCGGGTTCTTCCCGTCTGTGCCCCTACTCAGTAGATACAGAAAGATAAGCAAAAGTGCAGAGAGAGAGAGAGAGAGAGACAGGTAGAGAGACACAGGTGTGGAGAGAGACAGGGGGAGAGAGAGAGAGAGAGAGAGCGAGAGAGAGAGAGAGAAAGAGAGGAGAGGTAGGCAGACACGGAGGCTCAGAGAGAAGGAGAGAGCGAGAGAGAGGCAGAGATGGAGAGAGAGGAAGAGATAGAGAGAAGAGAGAGGGAGAGAGAGAGGCACAGAGAGAGAGAGAGATAGGATGTAGGGTTTGTGTCTGGGCTGAATTACATCCACGGAACCCCCCAGAGCGGTAATGAGCTCAGATACAGTTTTGGAAGCAAAACATGTTTCACTTGGTGCCGGGTGGTGGTGGAGGGGGTGGGGGGTGGTGGGGGAGGGTGGGGGAGGGTGGGGGGTGACGGAGCGAGTTCTTGGGGAGCGCTGCGCTGGCAAAGACGCCGGCATTCAGGACGAGACGTGAAACCTCACTCCCCGTCTGTGCCCCGTTCAGGTGGACGGTAATGTCTCTCTCAGCGCTGTTGGGAAAAGAGAAGGAAATTTCTCCCTCTCTCTCTCTCTCTCTCTCTCTCTCTCCCCCCACCCCAGTGTCCTGGTTGCAGGGGACGTTGCTACGCGCAAATTAGCTGCCGGGTTCGCCCACAAAACACACAGTCACTACACTGCACAGTACAAAAAAAATCCTGTGATGGGCTTTTGAGTTATTGCGACGTAACGTGACTGTAACGGTTTGAGATTGCGTCTTATCAACGTCAGAGATGGAAAGACAAGTGATCCGGGAATGGGGTGGGGATGGGGTGGGGCGTCGGACTGGGTGGGGGCGGTGGGGGGGGGGGGGGGAGAGTCGCGGGAATAAGAGAGGGGAACAGGAACGGCACAGCCCTCAATTGGGACATGAGAATAACAGACTGTTTACACAACATCAAAGCCCCTGTCAGCAAACAGCCAGGTACGTGTGGGGAGGGGCGGGGGGTGGGGGGTGGCGGGGGGGAGGGGGAGGGGGTGGGGGAGGTGAACATGTGTGTAAGAGATTACTGAGGCTCTGGACACGAGCTCCCACTTTGAAGTCCCAGATTGGAACAACTGGGAGAGAGAGAGAGAGAGAGAGAGAGAGAGTCCCTTCTCTTTTCCCGCCGTGAGATCTTTGGGGTCCACCTGAACAGGACACAGACGGGGAGTGAGGTTTAACGTCTCGTCCTGAAGGACGGGGTCTCTGACAATGCGTCGCTCTCTCTCTCTCTCTCTCTCCATCTGTCCTCTGGTCTATGTGATCGTGTGCAATGACGCCACCTGGCGGCGATCAACAGGGGTTGGAGACCCCTGGCTGAGACTGTGCCGTTCCTTCCATGTCTCGATGTGGGGGTCTTGAACCCCCAACCCCCTGACGCAGAGGCGAGAGAGAGAGAGAGAGAGAGAGAGAGAGTGAGTGAGCGCGACCACTGAGCGAGGACTCCAGGGCACTGCTGAGGACAGCACAGCTCATCAGGGAATCCTCCCCCTCAGCTCCTGGTAACCCCACAGCCAAAGCCCTAATTAACGGGGAAGGCGGGGGGGGGGGGGGGGGGGGGGTCCTCGCTGGACAAGCAGTGGGAAAGCTTGGCCAGACAGCGCTCGCTCTCTCTCTCTCTCTCTCTCTCTCTCTCTCGCAATGGCCCAAATATGTGTGGGTTTAGCTGGTTAGACTCCAGCAGTTACCTCCCACCCCCCCCCTCCCCCAAAGCTTTGGCTCTTGTCAACCTGCGCCTAATACTCTCCGGAATTAGGTAAATAGGGGGCGGGTGTCCCTCCAGGGAAAGAGAGAGAGAGATAGAGAGAGAGAGCGCATTCCAATTCAACAATCCCTGTCCGGCGTTGCCAGGTGTGGGATGGGAGACCTGGAATATTCTCAGTTGGGTTTGGAGACTCTTTAGCGATGGTGATGGGTTTCCTGATAAAATAAAACCATTTTCCTCCGGGTGTCGGTCGCTGCGATGATCTCACCTCCTCGCGATGGTCCCCCCGTGATCTCTGCACGACCCAGTGGACGGAAGGCTGCTGGGATTTGGGAATGCATTCCAGGAACGTGGCGTTCAGCTCAATCCCGATGATCAGCTTCTCCTCCGCAGTTTCCCGCACGGAACCTGTCAATCGCACAACACCCCCTCGGCACGTCAGCCCGGCTTCCACTGACCACCACCCCATCGGCGGTTGGACCTTCCCTCTCTCCGCCCCCACCCGTTAGAACGCCAGGTCCCTCCGCCTCGTCCCCTCCCTCGCCTCCTTCAAGGCCCGTCTCAAGACCCTCCTCTTCGACCGCGCCTTCGGTCATCCTCCTACCCCCACACCACCCTCCCCGCCCTCCGCACCCTCCTGATCCCAACCCCCAGCTCGGGTCCAACTCCCTGACTGCCCAGGGCCTCGGGACGTCCTGACCGACACGAAAGACGCCGCGTGAATGTAACGTGTTTGTGTGGTGGAGCACAAGATGGACACTCACTGTCGTCCAGGTCCCAGCATTGACTGATCGGGTTCCCGTGCCTCACGTCCTGCCTCCGCGTGCGTCTGACAAACAGCGGAGAGACCGTCAGTCGGCGCCAAACACGGAGCAACAATTCATCAAGCGTTAGCGCCAGGCGACAGGGGGGAGGTGGGGGAGGGGGTGAGGGGGAGGAGGGGGCAGTGGGACAGGGGTTGGGAACGTACCGTTTTGCGGTGGGGGTGTAGCGGGAGCAGGAGTGACCGTCCCAGGCACAGTAGGGGTCTCTGGCCAAACAGCACTCGGCGCACACAGCCCCGTAAACACCACAGCGGTGGAGGGGCAACTGGACCAGACCAGCACCTGAGCCAACGTACAGCAACTGCTGTAAGGACACAAGCAGATACTAGTTACTGTACACACTGCGCACACACTGCACACACACACTGTACACACACTGTACACACACACTGTACACACACTGCGCACACACACACTGTACACACACTGTACACACACTGCGCACACACTGCACACACACACTGTACACACACACACACTGCGCACACACACTGTACACACACTGCGCACACACTGTACACACACACTGTACACACTGTACACACACTGTACACACACTGTACACACACACTGTACACACACTGTACACACACTGCGCACACACACACTGTACACACTGCGCACACACTGCACACACGCACTGTACACACACTGTACACACACTGCGCACACACACTGTACACACACTGCGCACACACACACTGTACACACTGCGCACACACTGCACACACACACTGTACACACACTGCGCGCACACACACTGTACACACACTGCGCACATACACACACTGTACACACACTGCGCACACACTGTACACACACTGCGCACACACTGTACACACACTGCGCACACACACACTGTACACACACTGCGCACACACTGTACACACACTGCGCACACACACACACTGTACACACTACACACTGTACACACTGCACACACGCACTGTACACACATACTGTACATACACTGCGCACACACACATTGTACACACACTGCGCACACACACTGTACACACACTATACACACTGCACACTGTACACACTGCACACACACACTGTACACACACTATACACACACTGTGCACACACACACTGTACACACACTGCGCACACACACTGTACACACACTATACACACTGCACACTGTACACACTGCACACACGCACTGCACACACACTGTACACACACACACATTGTTCACACACACTGTACACACTGTGCCCTGTACACACACACTTATCCTGTGCACACACACTGTACACACACACGCGTACACACAGCCCCCCCCCCCCCCCTACCCCATGCAGGAGGCAGCAGTGTGCCCACCCCTGCACCAGTCGATAAAATCACCCGTTAAGTTCATGGCTGTTTGCGGGGACGTTGTTGAGCCCCCCCCCACCCCCAAGCCCCCCCCCCCGCCAAGCCCCCCCCCCCCGCCAAGCCCCCCCTCCCTCCCCCCCCACCCCAGGAGAGGAGTGTGTGTCACAGCCACCAGTTACCTGCTTTGAGGAGATCACCATTCTGAGGACAGGAGAGGGGACCTGGAGACAGAAAATCAATCAGGTGTCAGAGAGTTTATTACACGCTCCGCGAGCTGCGTCAGCCTGAGACACACCAGATCACAGGCAAGTTTTCTCCTCCTCCTCCTCCTCCTCCTCCTCCTCCTTCTTCTCAATTGTTATTAATTTGTGATTATTATTTATTTAGCGTTATTATTAATCGTCGTCATTAATCTTATTACCACTCCAATTCACTTTACAGTGTATCCCGCGAAGCGCTTTGAGGCGTCTCAACAGCGTGATGAGGCGCCGTGTCAACTGCGAGGATTATTATTATTATCATTATTATAATTGAGCTCTGAGCTCACGGTCTAGGCTGAGGCTCCAGCGAAGCCCTGGGGGTGAAGGGGGGGAGAGAGAGACATTGTCGGATGAGACGTTAAACCTCACTCCTGGTCTGTGCCCTGTTCAGGCAGACGTTAAAGATCCTGCTGTTGGGAAAGGGAATTTCTCTCTCTCTCTCTCTCTCTCTCTCTCTCTCGTCTCTCCTGGCCGACAATCCCCCCCCCCCACCCACCACCACCCGATAAAATCAGTCGCTCACTTCCTGAACGACTGACAGACGGATGGAGCCAGAGAAACAGGGAATCTTTACCTTAAAGACCTGCATCTCCTCCAGAACCACTTCCTCTGCCGTCCAGTCCTCCTTCACGATGCTCACGGCCTTCAGCACTGACCCCGTATCTGTGGTTATGTGCAGAGAGTTTAAGCTTCCGCTCACGCCAGTCTCCCGGGCACTACCCCCCCACCATCCCCCCCCCCACACCCCAACCGAGACATCCACCCCAACCCCTTCCTGATCCCCTACACACCCCAATCCCCTGAACCCCAACACACACACACCCCCCCCACTCCAATCCCCCGCCCCACGCACTCCACCCCCCCCCCCCCACCCCACTGGCCCCATTACCTGTCCCCAGGAACATGACATGGTACTGCCCGTCCTCGGCCGTGACCTGATCCACGGTGATGTGCGTGAGCCGCTGGTCTGCGGTGACGTGGGTGAACACCGGGCGCCCGTTCACCGGGTGCACTGACCGGGCCATGACCGGGTGCCGCCTGGAAAAGCCGATCACAGCGTCCGGGAAATCCTTTGTGGACGTGATCGAGGGGTCGTAGGTCTCGCTGGGGCACTGTGGGTGGGGTGGGGGCGCGGGGGAGAGGGGGGAAGAGACATGTCAACACACAACACGCTTGATCATGGGAGAGGGGGCTGTCAGGGAAATATCTCATCCTTCCAAAGCCCCCCCCACCCTTCCTCTCTGTCTGTCCATCTGTCCACTCCCTCCCATAATACGCCTCTGTTTACCAGCGGTCAGTAGGAACCCGGTTGCTATCAATTGGCGGATCACTTTCCAGGGGGTAATAATCCCTGATAATAATTTGGTCACTCAATCCACAATTCTTTATACATATATATATACACATAATCCTTTATTTATATATATTTGTATATATATATCTGTATATGTTGCGGATATATATGTGATATATCTATATGTATATCTCTTTATATATAAAGATATACATATATATATGTAAAACACACAGTCACTACACTTTTCCACACCATACACTGTATGGACCGATGGATGAGTTGATGGTAACTGGAAGAGCCGGAAGTCTATGGATGATCCGAGTCTGAAGGGTTTGTGAGCAAATGTCTCCCTCCTGTGGTCAGGTAGAATATTGCAGCTCAACACCTGTCCCGGGGATTTCCAGTCTCCGGGAACATTTGCCAGAAAATTCAATATGGGACTAGATATTGGGAAATTCTCCCCGTCCCGTCTCTCTGGAAGTCTGTCCGTCTGTCCGTCTGTCCGTCTGCCTTCCAGGAAACCCCGGGCCATCGCCGGCCAATAAAGATGGTAAAGAAATGTTTCTCAAACAAAAATCTAATGGCATTGACCCGAGGGCAGGAGCGTGTGGTGCGTGTAATTGCGTTCAGTGTTTCACAGACGTTGGTAAAAGGCGACGTCGATAATCATTAAACGGGATTTTTAACGGGTTTGGGCTCCGTCAATGGGGTGGCGCAAGGTCACCATCTCGTGGTAACGACAGGAAGAGCAGCCGGGCTGATGATGATGATGATGATAATAATAATAAAATAATAATAGTAATTCGCGTTGTCTCAAAGCGCTTCACACAGGATCCGCTGTAAAGTGCAGTGACTGTGTGTGTTTTGTGGGTGAAACGCGGCAGTTTAATTGCGCACAGCAGCGTCCCCGCAAACAGCTATGGAGCGAAGTAACCAGATTTATTTGGTGGTGGTGGTGGGGGGGGGGGGGGGGATTGTCGGCCTGGACACCAGGAGAGAGAGAGGGAGAGAGAGAAACTCTCTTCTCTCTCCGACTGCTCTGCAGGATCTTCAATTCAGGCTCAAAGTCCCTGCCACGGGGGCTCGAACCCCCTCAACCTCCCGAGTTCGGAGGTGAGGGAGCGACAGACTGAGTCACAGGCGGACACCTGAACGAGTTCCACGTTTTAAGTGAGACCTGCTGAGACCAGGTGGAATTTCAGGCCTCAGGCAATCCCCCCCCTCTCCCTCCCCCCTCTCCCTCCCCCCTCTCCCTCCCCCTCTCTTTCCTCCCGCAGCGCAATTTCCGCCCTCGCAAAACACCTGTGTTCATTAAATTATAATTATAAAAACATTAGGTTGGTACATTACACACTCTGTCCCCCACCCCCCCTCCCCTCCCTCCCTGCCCCAACACACACACTAACCCCCCCCACACATACACTGCACCCCTCTCCCCCCAATACACACACACACACACACACTCTTCCTCCCCAATCACAGACACTGACCACCCCCCCCACACCCCCACCCCCCCATCCCCACACACACACTCTCTCCTACCAAGGAGGGGGTGGGGGTGGGGGTGGGGGTGTAGCCCCTGTACTCACCGTGCCGGGCCTGGGGTACGGGATCCGTCCCTCAAACTCCACCCAGCGATGGTCGGGCCCCTCCTTGTGGCTGTACGGCCCGTTGAAGACCGCCCGGATGTCAGCCATCTTATACACACACACAGCGGAGCCTTTGAAGATGGAACTGAGGGGGGAGAGAGAGAGAGAGAGGAGAGGGGGGGAGAGATGCCAATGGTGTGCTAGAGGCGGTGTGGGGGGGGGGTGTGGGGTTGGGTGGGGGGGGGGGAGGCTCCACTCTTATACTCACTGGTGTCACAAATGTCACGTTCCAATCCTTATTCCAGAAGTTACATTAAATTCAGAGCCCCCTCCGCCCCCGCCCCCCCCCCCCCCCACACTCCCCCACCCCGCAACGCCCACCATCCTCGCCAGGCTCTGTACCCTCCCCACCAAAATCACCCCCGAACCACCCTCACCCTCCCCCCCTCCAGGCGTCTGACACGAGCGGAAACCATCACCATGATTGAGGGTCTCTGCACTCTGTACAGTGGGTTAATGATCTCCTGATAGCTGGACCAGTATGCTCCCCCCCCCCACCCAACCCAACTCTTCTACGTCCCCCCCACAACCCCACCGTTCCATACAATGCCCCCCACTGGCTCCCCAGTTCCCCCTCCCCTCCCACACGTTGGCCTTGGCTGATAATCACCTGCTGGTGGTGAAGACTCCGTACACAACCGGGTTCCTATCATCTCTGGTCGGCAACACAAACACATCCTCTTCACAGAGACAGAGAGAGAGAGAGAGGTGGGGGGTGGTGGGGGGGGTGGGGGGGGGAGAGAGAGTGAACGAGAAGAGAGAGACAACGAGAGCAAAAAAAAAAGACCTATTATTAAATAGTTACATCAATCGGCGTAATAATAATAATAATAATAATCCTAGCTTTATTAGCGGTATTATTATCACAGCTCCTTATCACATCTTCGAGACGTCTCAAAGCGCTTCACAGGATACACTGTAAAGTGCAGTGACTGTGTAGTTTGAGGGTGAAACGCGGCAGCCAATCGCGCACACAGACAGCCATAGAGCGAGCGGCCAATTTTATTTGGCGGATTGTCGGTCAGGACACCGGGAGAGAGACAGAGAGAGAGGGAGAGAGAGAGAGAGAGAAAAACTCCTTTCTCTTTTCCCCACAGAGCCGCGGGATCTTTAACATCCACCTGAGCCGACGGGGAGCGTCTCCTCCGAAGGACGGCGTCTCCGACAATGCGACCCCCACCCACCCCCCCCCCCCCACCCCCCCCCCCGCAGCGCTGCACTGGAGAATCAGCTTAGACTGTGTTGTACCTTTGTGTTCTGTGTGATATTTAACGCGACAATAAGCCTTGCGTTGGACGTCCCAAGGCGTTGTGTTGCTCGTCACACGTTGGGGAAGGGAGGGGGCGGGGGGTGGGTGGGTGGGAGGTGGTGGGGGGAGTGGGGTGGGTGGGGGAGTGGGGGAAGGTTGACTTACGGAGTTCATCAAAATATGTGTCGACTCCGTCAGGCCCCGGAACGGAGCAAACCAGCCGTGCCTTCAGGAACGTGCTCCACTTGTTGATCAGACTCCTCTGGCCCCCCACGTCATTCTGTCGTCAATTAAACACAGCTGTTAGGGGTCACAGGAAATAATAATAATAATAATAATAATACAACAATAATAAAATAAAAATCTAATGGTAATAATATAAGCATAATAATAATACAACGGTAATAATGTAAATATAATAATCATATAATGGTAATAATATAAATATAATGCTATAATAATATAATGATAATAATATAATAACAATATAATGATAATAATGCAATGATAATATAATAATGATGATAATAATATAATAATAATATAATCATAACAAACATTTTGATATTGATATAAGGACTAACTGGTCTGGACATCAACCAGCAATAGTGACACCGAGAAACACCACCACAATAATTTGGGTCCATACAGACAGGACAATCAGCTGTAACAGACCAGATATCATCATCATCATCATCATCATCATCATCATCATCGTAATCCTTGCATTTGGTACAGTGTTTGGTCACTCAATCCACGGCTGTTGGTGGGTCGCTGCTTGTGTATCCTGTGAAGGGCTTTGAGACGTCTCGAAGAGGTGATCAAAGAGGGGCTGTGTCTGATGCCAGGACTATTATTATTATTAATATTATTATGGAGTCCTGTGGCTCAGTGGTTAGAGCACTCGCTTTGCAAGTGAGAGACCTGAGTTCAATTCCAGGCAGAGGGCGAAACCTCGGGCAAGTTTCCTTACTCCACACAGAGCCTAATAATAATCCCTCCAAAACCAAAAACAATAATAAATTGGTCATTTTCAATCTACGACTGTTTGTGGGACATTGCTGTGCGCAATTGGCTGCCGCGTTCGCCCACAAATATACAGTCAATTCACTTTACAGTGTGTTCTGTGAAGCGCTTTGGGACGTCCTCCCGACGTGAAAAGCGCTATATCAAATGCAAGGATTATTATTATTATTATTATTATTATTATTATTATCGGCCTGGCTGCTCTTGCTGGCGTTACCGCTAGAGGCGTCCTTACTCTTGTTCCTGAAACAAACTCCTGCGACCCATTAAGTGAAACAGAACCGAGGGTTAGGATTGAAGACCCTTCAGTTTATTCCCTGTGATATTGTGTATCCCCCCCTCGCCCCCCCCTCGCCCCCCCACCGCCCCAGGCAGAGACTGTGTGATTAATTCTCCAGGTTCAGGTCAGGACTCGGGGGTCTGATCAGCTTCCCATTACCGGGAGCAACACGTCTCCACAGGGCACAGCGGCAAACCTCAATCCTACAGCTTTCACCAGCGAGAACTTAGCTCCTGCCCTTCACAGTGTGGCTACGGTTCCCTTTATATCTGACACAAGCTCTCGCTCTCACCCCCCCACCCCCCCCCGCCCGCCCCCCCCCCCCGCCCCCGCCCTCGCTCTCTCTCTCTCCCTCTCTCTCTCTGCCGCTGTCTGTCTCTGTCTATCTTTCCGTCCGTCCGTCCGTCTATCTGTCTCACTCCCACTCTCCACCCCATCACGTCTCCCGCTGTCCCTTCCCCCCCACCTCGCTTTCTCTCTCCCTCTATATCTCCCACTCCCCCTCTCTTTCATCCCTTCCTCCCCCCACCCCCACCTCTCTCCCCGCCCTCGTTGCCGCCTCTTCCTCTCTTTTTCTCTCTCCCCCTCTCTTTGTCTCTCCCTCTAGGGCTGTTTCTCGCTCTCCCTATCCCTCTCGCACTCTCTTCCCCTCCCTATCCCCCCCCCCACCACCCTCATCTCTCGTTCTCTCCTACCCCCCCACCGTTTGCCTACAAAAACACACAGTCACTACACTTTACAGTATATTCTGCGAGACGTCTCGATGGCACGATAAGGCACTGTATCAAATGCAAGGATTATTATTAGATATTATTAATTATTATTATATGACAAAGTCCCTCCCCGACCTCCCTCCACCCCCCCCCCCCCCCCGCCTACCTTACACACACGAGCCACTCGGGACAGAATGGCCTTATCCGATGCTCCGCTCTCGTGCGTCGTTTCCCGGAAGAAGAAGTAAATTTTATCGTCATCCGTGTTGTAGGTGTCGGGCATGGGGAACGCTCCCACAAACTTCGCTTCTGAAAGGAGGGGGTTTATCCCCATTATTATACACCCTGCTCTCCCTCCCTCTCTCCCTCCCTCCCTCTCTCTCTCTCTCCCCATCGTGTCTGTGCTGGGGCTCGCTTCCCCGCCCCCCAACTGGAGCTCTCTACTCTAACCCCATTTCCCCCCCCCCCCCCCCGCTCTCTCTCTCTCCCCACCCCCCCATCGTGTCTGTGCTGGGGCTCGCTCCCCACTGGAGATGGCTGGGTTGATCAGTAACTGCTTGTAATGGGGGTAATTACAGGTTATCTGGACTATCAGACTATCTGCCCAGGAGCTGATCAGATTCAGACGTGACTTCTGTGCTGATTAAACAAGAACGATCTCAACCGTAACGCACCTTATCTCAGACTGCCGGAGCCCCGGCACACAGGAGGCCATTCAACCCATCACTGGCTCTAAAATCTGCTCAGTCCCACTCCCTGACCTTTCCTCTCCCATTACACGCACACACACACACAACCACACTCACACAAAACCACACACACGTGCAAATACAGCTCACACACACACACACACAACACGTGCCACCACACACGAGACCACACTCACACGCCCTGCACATGCAAATACACACATATAAACACGCAGCCACCCAGAATCGATCACACGCACACACGCGCACACGCACACAAATACGCAAACGATTTTTATATTTCTCCAATTTCTTTTGGAAATCCAGTACAGCTTCAACCGGTGTGACTTTTTGGTCGGGCATTCCACATCCCAACAACCGTCTGAGTGAGCGCGTGCGTGTGGTTGCGTGTGTACGTGCATTTCCGTGTGCAGTTGCATGTGCAATTGAGTGTGTGTGTGTGTGTGTGTGTGTGTAGGTGCGTTTGCATGTGTGTAAGAATAAATCTACACACTTAGTTTGACTTAGTTTTGGTGTTTAACCCTCAGTGGTTGAAAACCAAATACTGCCCATCCCCTGTCTCTTTCCCTGTCCCATTCCCTGTCCCATTCCCTGTCCCTTTCCCATTCCCTGTCCCATTCCCTGTCCCATTCCCTGTCCCATTCCCTGTCCTATTATCTGTCCCATTCCCTTTCCCTGTCCCTGATCACAGTAACTGCTCTGTACCGTTCAGCCAGTGGTGCTCAGAGAGGTCAGTCAGGATGTAGTTCTGAATGGGAGTTGGTCCCAGTGACCGTGTGAAGACAGTGACTCGCCCATGAAAGTCCAACGCTGTCCCAGTGTACAGGTACTGGTCTGTGAGAGAGAGAGAGAGAGAGAGAGAGGGAGAGAGAGGGAAAGAGGGAGAGGGAGGGGGAGAGGGAGAGAGGGGAGAGAAAAGAGAGTGAACATCAATGTCCAGCAATAATAGTTGCATTTGACACGGCGCCTTATCACATCGTTGAGACGTCTCAAAGCGCTTCACAGGATACACTGTAAAAGTGAAGTGACTGTGTATTTAAGTCCCGACTTGGGGGCTTGAACCCACAACCTTCTGACTCAGAGGAGAACGAGAGAGAGAGAGGGAGAGGGAGAGAGAGAGAGCGCTACCACTGAGCCAGGAAGGCACAACAAGCATCGAGTACAAAACTAGGAGTCTGGTTCCTGAGCCAGGAGGGCACTCACTGCTGATGGCAGCACAGCCCGGCCCGGCCCGGCCCGGCCCGGCTCATCAACAAGACCTGGAAGGGCCGACCAGTCACTGGGGGCAGGAATTCATCGCAAGAGGGGGAAGGCTGCTTGAAGGTGGCGTTGATCTCTGCTGTCATCAGTTGGCCATCAACAAACCCTCTGGGAGCCGGTCAAGGGATATCTGACTTGCGATCATCAAAGGGGAGCTGTCATCAGCCTCGATGTTAATTATCAGCCGCTGTTTGTACTGGGAGGTGAGGAGGGCATCCATTTAAGATCATTGTCAACAAACGGGAAAGGAGGTTCGGGGAGTTCTTTAATAATAATAATAATCCTCGCATTTGATACAGCGCCTTATCACGTCGTTGAGCCGTCTCAAAGCGCTTCACAGGACGCACTGTAAAGTGGATTTTGTGGGTGAAACGCGGCAGCCGATTGCGCACAGCGGTGTCCCCACAAACAGCCGTGAACTGAGTGACCAATTTTTTTTAAAAAAGAGGCATTATTCCCCCCAGAAAGCGATCCGCCAATCGACTAACAACCGGGTTCCTATTCACCATTGGGTAAATTCCCTTTAAAGCTGTGAGGTTGACCCCTGATCTGTCTTAGTCTCTCGGTCAAACCTCTCACGTTCAAAACAAGGACCGCATTTGCTGGCATTCGCCATCTGGGTGACGAGTGGATTGTTTGCCTAATAAACAATTGTAAAGCGATTTACATTCCTCCGTTCGCTTTTTTCCTTGAGAAACTCTCCCTTCTCTCTGTGAGGACCCCTGTTCCAGGCTCCTCCGTCTAACAGGTGTTGAGGGGAGGCGGGTGAGGGGGTGACGGGGTGTTTAAGGTGCGGTCAGTCACCTCTGATCATCATGGGAGACAGAATTCAGCCAAGTCCGCACAGACAAACAGTCGTGGATTGAGTGACCAAATTATTTTTTAGTATTTTTTTTAAAAAGGGATTATTCCCCCCGGAATAACGACCGGGTTCCTATTTACTGCCGGTAAACAGAGGCGTGGGGGGGGGGAGTGAGGAAACTTGGCTGAGGTTTCACCCTGCCCGGGAATCTTGCGAAGCGAGGGGTCTAACCGCCGAGTCAGTCAGGACCCAGTGAAGGGTTAAGCGTGGGTCCAGTCTGTTGTGAAGGGAGAACGGCAGGGATTTTATTTCAATAGTCACCCCCAAAGCGATCAATAATCAGGCGGGACCTGCGAGGAGGATAGATCACCCATCAATCAAGTCACTGGTTACAATGGGATAAAGGGTTCGCAGGGGAGGGGAGGGGAAGGGAGTTTTCCCACATCTCTGTCCACACAGGAGTCCAGACTTCAAAGCTCCCGATCTTTCATTACACACGCCGTGGGCTGGTGAGGCTCCCAGTCACACATTTATTAGCAAACCTCAGCCTCCCGCAGTCAGCCTGGCTCTCTCTCTCTCTCTCTCTCTCTCGCCTCCGAGGCACAAGGTTAAAGGGTTCGATAACAATCATAATAATCCTTGGATTTGATGTAGCGCTTTGTGTTGAGACGTCTCGAAGGGCTTCGCAGGGTATACTGGAAAGTGAAGTGACTGCGCACACACACACACACACACACACACACACACGACACCACCAACAACAAATGAACAGTAATGCTGATGACGACAACAAGAATAGGCAGCTCAAAGCGCTTCACTGGATTTTTACTATAAAGTGTAGTGACTGTGTGTTTTTGTAGGTGAACCTGGCAGCCGGTTTGCACACAGCGACGTCCCTGCAAAAAAAATGTGAAGTGAGCGATTTTTTCTGGGGGGTCGGGGGGGGGGGTGTCGGAGAGGGGGATTGTCAGCCAGGACACCAGGGGAGAGAAAGAGAGAGAGAGAGAGAAAGAAACTCCCTTCTCTTTTCCCAACAGTGCCGCGAGATCCTTTGACGTCCACCTGAACAGGACACAACACCCACCCCCCCCACCCATCTCCCACCCCAGGCCACACACCCCAGACTTTACCTGATATCACGGAGGCAGATGGCTGTTTGGGGTCGAAGGGACACTTCAATCTGCCAGACTCGAGGTTGTCCGTATCCAGATGGAAAACAGGCTCCTGGAGACAAGCGAGAGCCACACTGAGCCACACGTAGTCACTCAATCCATCAATACACTCTAACCCCAGCCCCTGCGCTCTCCCTCTCTCTCTCTCTCTCTCCCCCCATCTTGTATGCACTGGTGCTCGCTCCCCACACACTCTACTCTAATCCCATTCCCCCCGCTGTGTGAAGGCTGTGTGAAGGCTGTGGGAGATGCTGTGGGGGAGCTGGGGCCGTTGGCGGACGTCGTTGAGGTCACGTTACCTGGTCCCAGGGCCCCATTTCGATGTAGCCACATGTGGGATGAAAGGCTCCTGTCCCACACGCGTAGACGTGAGTCTTGTTATAGTTGTGGAGGACTCTGATGAAGTTTGCGCACTCTCTCTGCAAGAGATCATTCACAATGATATTAATGATGCTACTAATAATAATAATAACAATAAAAATATTAGCGATTACAGCAATAATCCTTGTATTTGATAGAAACTCCTTCCCCTTATTCCCGGGAATGCCGGGGAATAGGTACAAAGCGTTACTAAAGCGGGCACCATCCCCTCTTTCCGTGTGACCCACACATACCAGGGAGTGGGTCTGTGCGGGGGGTGGGGGTGCGCGTGTGCGCGCGGGGAGAGGGGTAAAAGTTCTCGATCGACAAACTCTTACACAGGAGGAAAAGGAGCTTCGGATGTGTGTGGGTGGGGGGGGGGGGGTGGGGGGGAAACGCAGGGATTAAGGAGTGGGTTTCTCTTGACTCGCTCCTCACAGGCTGGTTTTTGTTCCCAGTTTAGGATGCAGGAGTCTTAGTTTCGTTCTCCAAACACCTCTCGGGTTTCCGCCTGGAAAGGAAAGTGGTGGGGAATGGTTGTGGATTGGGAGAAGCCGGGAAACTCCAACGATCAGGGAGCGAAGGGACCCAGGCACGGAAAAACAAGCAGGAGGGGTGAGCCGGTGAGATCGAGAACGACACTCCTCTCTAACAGAGAGAGGGGGGTGGGTGGGGGGGGGGGGGGGAGGGGGGGGGGTGGAACATGGCATCTTAAAATTATCTTGACGTCTAGAAATGATGTTAAATGTGGGTTCCTGTAGCTCAGTGTTAGAGCGCTCGCCTCGCAAGCCAGAGAACTTGGGTTTGATTGCCGGGCGGGACGAAACGTTGGGCAAGTTTCCTTACCCCCCCGCACCCCCCCCCCCACACACACACACACACACACACACACACACACACGCCTCTGTTTACGGAGTTAACAACCAATCAATCAATCAATCAAACATCACATTAAACAGGTGAAGAGTCTCACGTGGGGGTGTTTCCCGGTTTGTTGACACATCTCCACTTGCTCTCTGTTTGCGGGCCAACGGATCTGTAAATAAAATAAAACAGTCACTTTATAGTCTCTTTCTTGCTCGGCGGTGGGGGGGGGGGGATGTCCAGCCCTGAGTTCCTTTCTTGTGTGTCTGTGTCTGTGTGTCTGTGTCTGTGTCTGTGTGTCTGTGTGTGTCTGTGTCTGTGCGTGTCTGTGTGTGCATGTGTGTGTGTGTGTCTGTGTGTGTGTGTGTCTGTGTGTGCATGTGTGTGTGTGTCTGTGTGTGTGTGTGTCTGTGTGTGCATGTGTGTGTGTGTCTGTGTCTGTGTGTGTGTGTCTGTGTGTGCATGTGTGTGTGTGTCTGTGTCTGTGTGTGTGTGTCTGTGTGTGTGTGTGTCTGTGTGTGTCTGTGTCTGTGTCTGTGCGTGTGACTGTGTGTGCATGTGTGTGTCTGTGTGTGTGTGTGTCTGTGTGTGTGTCTGTGGGGGTGGGGGCGGTGATTGTAGACAGGGAGAGAGGGGCTATATTTCTTAACGGGATTATTTCTTAATCCTGCATTTTTCACCCAATTTGCGCACAGCAGAGTCCCCACATGTAGCCACGAAGTGAGCGACTGATTTTATCTGGGGGTGGGGTGGGGTGGGGTGGGGGCGGATTGTCGGCCAAGACACCAGAAGAGAGAGAGGGGGGGTGGGGGGGAAACTACCTGAACAGGACACAGACAAAAGTTTCACCCAAACGGTGTTTCTAACAGTGCGCTCTCTCCCTCTCCCTCGCTCCCCCTCTCCCCCCCCGCACCCCAGGGCTGGAGCCTCAGCCCGGACTGTGTGAGCTCAAAGCCCCCCCCCCCCAACCGATGTGGGGGCCTGAACCCACAACCTCCTGACTCGGGGGGAGCGTTACCCCCTGAGCTGTCTCTGGTATTCTGTACAAGTCTGAAGCTCAGCTGTTAAACTTCATCCCGAGGTCTCCACTTTCCGTAATTTCCTGACGGGAGTCATGAGGACAAAGGGTACAGTGTGTGGGGGTGTGGGGGGGTGTGTGGGGTGGGGGGGTGAGACAGGCTGATGGTAATTGCTTGCGGCAAACAGTAGCTGCAGTCCTGTTACACAGAGCAGGAGGTGTCAGGTGTTAAAACACGGGCTCTTGAAGGGCTGATCTTTCTGACGGGATTTTACAATAAGAGCCCGGCTCTCAATGGCTCCCAATCCCCCCCCCCCCACCCACCCCCCCCTCCCCGGCTCAGTGCCGTGCTCCGTCGCCGTCGAGCGCTCCGGGGCGCTACCCTGCGTGTGACGGGGCGGTGGGTATAAATGCGCTGGGATCGTCTACAACAAGGTTCCATTTATAGAGCGCCTTCCGCGTCGGGAGGACGTCCCGAGGCGCTGTCTAATCACACAGTCAGTTCTGGGAAGCGATTGTTCAAACACGTGGGATCATAACAACAACAACAGCAATAATAATAATAGTATTAATAATCCCGGCCTTTGACACAGCGCCTGATCACGTCTTCGAGACGTCTCAAAGCGCTGCCCGGGATGCGCCGTAAAGTGGGGCCACAGTGTACTCTGTGGGTGAAACGTTTTGTGGATTGCAAAACGTTTAAGTGAAAGGCGACAGAGAGAGAGAGAGAAAAAACACAGACACACACACACACACACACACACAGACACACACACACACACATACAGACACACACACACACACACACAGGTACAGACGGCTGAACAGTCAGAGTCTTTGTTCAGATCTTTGGCTACTGTTTTGCTTAACGGACCCTGAGGGAGAAATTCTACCCCCTGGGGCGCGATTTCCTCTCATTGTGCAGCGTTTTGGAACGCAAAGAAATTGGCACATTGTTAAAAAGGACCTTAATTTTGAGTTATTTTCCCCCTCCTTCCATTCTCTCCCCCCCCCACCCCTCACCCCCACCCCTCACCCCCAACCACCATTTGTTTCAAGAACTCACGGAGAAAAATAAACTTACAACTGAATTCAACGATCATTAGCAAAATACCATTCACTCTGACACGCAATTTAACTGGAGTAAATCTAGACCCACTCTCCTTCTGGGGGGGGGGGATGGGGGGGTGCTGGCGGGGTAGAGCGGGGTCTCCTAGGACTGGCTCTCAGCCCGGCCCGGCCCAACGGTAGCACCTGGAAGGTCCAAAAAGTCACTGGGGGCAGCGAATCCTCCCCTCAGCTCCTGTTAACCCTGCAGCCAAAGCCCTGTTGGGGGGGGGGGTGGGGTGTATCTCTGTGTGCGTGGGTGGGGGTGTTGGGGTTTGTGTGTTGGGGGGTGTGGTTGATGTGGGGTGTGTGTGTATCCGCGTGTGTGTGTGTGTGTGGATGAAGGTGTTGGGGTTTGTGTGTTGGGGGGTGTGGTTGATGTGGGGGGTGTGTGTGTGTGTGTGGATGGGGGTGTTGGGGTTTGTGTGTTGGGGATGTGGTTGATGTGGGGTGTGTGTGTGTGTGTGTGTGGGTGGGGGTGTTGGGGTTTGTGTGTTGGGGTGTGTGTGTGTGTGTGTGTGTGTGGGTGGGGGTGTGGGTGGGGGGTGTTGGGGTTTGTGTGTTGGGGTGTGTGTGTGTGTGTGTGTGTGTGTGGGTGGGTGGGGGTGTTGGGGTTTGTGTGTTGGGGGGTGTGGTTGATGTGGGGTGTGTGTGTGTGTGTGTGGATGGGGGTGTTGGGGTTTGTGTGTTGGGGGTGTGGTTGATGTGGGTGTGTGTGTGTGTGTGTGTGGATGGGGTGTTGGGGTTTGTGTGTTGGGGTGTGTGTGTGTGTGTGTGTGGGTGGGTGGGGGTGTTGGGGTTTGTGTGTTGGGGATGTGGTTGATGTGGGTGTGTGTGTGTGTGTGTGGGTGGGGGTGTTGGGGTTTGTGTGTTGGGGTGTGTGTGTGTGTGTGTGTGTGGGTGGGGGTGTTGGGGTTTGTGTGTTGGGGTGGTGTGTGTGTGTGTGTGTGGGTGGGGGTGTTGGGGTTTGTGTGTTGGGGTGTGTGTGTGTGTGTGTGTGTGGTGTGGGGTGTGGGGTTTGTGTGTTGGGGTGTGTGTGGTGTGTGTGTGTGGGTGGGGGTGTTGGGGTTTGTGTGTTGGGGTGTGTGTGTGTGTGTGGGGTGGGGGTGTTGGGGTTTGTGTGTTGGGGTGTGTGTGTGTGTGTGTGTGGGTGGGGGTGTTGGGGTTTGTGTGTTGGGGTGTGTGTGTGTGTGTGTGTGGTGTGTGTGGGTGGGGGTGTTGGGTTTGTGTGTTGGGGTGTGTGTGTGTGTGTGTGTGTGTGTGGGTGGGGGTGTTGGGGTTTGTGTGTTGGGGTGTGTGTGTGTGTGTGTGTGTGTGTGTGTGTGGGTGGGGGTGTTGGGGTTTGTGTGTTGGGGTGTGTGTGTGTGGGTGGGTGGGGGTGTTGGGGTTTGTGTGTTGGGGTGTGTGTGTGTGGGTGGGTGGGGGTGTTGGGGTTTGTGTGTTGGGGGGTGTATTATTTCTGACCTGTCGGGGGTTGCGGTTGATGTGATCCAGGTGTAATAAGAAGACCGAATCCTTGGCTCCCACCAGCAGCCGCCCTCTCTCCTCGTCCAGGAGCAGCGCCTGGTAGTTGTGTCCGTCCTCCGAGCCCAGGAACTCCCCAAAGCCTCCCGACACCAGCAGCTCTGTGGGGAAGAGCGATCGGGGGTACTCTGTGCTGCCATCAGCAGTGAGTGCCCTGGAATACTGCGGCCCCTCCTGGCTCAGGAACCCGGGGGGGCGAGAGACCGGCACAGAGAGGGGGTGGGGGGGGGGGGGACTCGATTCCCACACTCCGTCGCCAAAACATGTCACCTGGGGGCCTCCAGGTCAGCTCCCAGTTGAGATGTTCCCTGACCCGTAAAAGGTCGCAACATCTGGCCCGAGACCGTCGTCTGTCAAACACTGTGCACCGAATGGGATTACCAATGGCTCTTAAAACAATTACTTTAATTAAAATCATTTTAATGTCGATCCCTCCGGCTTCGTCCACAATCAGCCGTGTCCACCGCAGCGCGGCTGAGATTAGCTACTGATCAAAGCGTCTCAGAGAGAGTGACAGAGACACGCGCGGACAGAGCGAGAGACACAGGGGGTAGGTGACGAGTTGAGAGAGTGAGCTCAGAGCAATCATCATAGAAAAAAAAATAATAATCATAAATTTCACCCCCAGAGCAATGTCCTGGATGGCAGTCCTGAGCTGGTGGGTTGGTTGGGGGTGTGTGGGGGGGGCGGGGGGGGGGGGGCGGAGGGTGGGTGACTATGTCTGTGTGTCTGTGTCTGTGTCTGTGTGGGTGGGGGTGGGGGGTGGTCAGTAATGGGGGGAGGATGTCTGGACTCAACACCAAAAGCCATTTGGTTGCCAGGGGTCTCGGCTGAACCTTTCCTAACCCCCACCTCCCGCAGAGAGAGAGCGAGTGAGAGGGAGAGCACTCGGAGGGGGGAGAAACCTTACCCACTCTGGACGGACAACATCAGAAGCCGAGACACGGGGAGGGAGGAGAATGGAGGAGGGTCTATCACTCATCCGAGTAGACCACAGACCATTAACGTCCGACGGGAAGGGGAGGGGGAGGGGGGGAGAGGAGGTGGGGGAGGAGAGGGAATGTGTGTGTGAGAGAGAAAGAGACACACGCACACACACACACGCACACAGAGCAGCATCTCGCGTGTGCGTGTGCTTTTTTTGGTGGGGGAGGAGGGGTGGCTTTGGCCCACAGCGCTTCACAGGATTTACTGTAAAGTGTAGTGACTGTGTGGCGAAGGCGGCAGCCAATTTGCGCACAGCAATGTCCCCATGAACAGCCGTGAAGTGAGTGACCGATGTTATCTGGGGTGGGGGGGAAGGAGGGAGGGAGGGGACTGCCGGCCAGTGAGGTCTAACGTCTCACCCGAAGGATGGCGTCTCCGACAATGAGGTGCTCTCTCTCTACCCCCCCCCCCCCCCACCCCCCCTCCCTCACCCCCATGTTCTGAGCCCGAGGTGAGAGAGAGAGCCAGTGGTCTGAGTTGGGCACTTTGGTCGCTCAATCCACTACTGTTTCGCTGGACAGCGCTGTGCGCAGTCGGGAACAGTTACCTTTGTGGGAGAGCTTGAGCCTGGGAACCCTCTGCTTCCAGGACTGCGCACACGGGATGAGCAGGAGTACGAGCGCGGCCGGGAAGAGCCGAAGACAGGCGACGCGGCTGATCACCCTTCGCCTTCTCTGTACCTCCGTCTCCCTCGGCCTCGGTCCTCCCATCAGAGACATTCCTGCAAAACAATACACCTCCAGCGCATCAAAAACACAGCGCGAGGCCACACAGCGAACAGCACCCTGGGCGAGATGGCCAGACCTGTTGAGTTTTGCCCACAAAACACACAGTCACTACACTTCACAGCGTATCCCGTGAAGCGCCTCGAGACGTCTGGAAGGCGCGATGAGGCGCTGTGTGAAATGCAACAATTATTATTAATATTATTATTATTATTGACACCCTCTGCCTCGATTTGACCGAGTGACGACTCCCACGAACTAACCGAGTGCACAGCACACTGTGAGCATCAGCAACAACGACAACAACGACGACGACGACAACAACAACAACAACAAGGCTCCCGCACAGCGAGACGTCTCGTTTCAGCCAAGTGTTGGCTTCTTATTACAATGATAATATAATAATCCTTTGCATCTGTTATGGCTGCAGGGTTCGTGGAGTCCTGAAGCTCAGTGGTTAGAGCCCTCGTCTCGCAAGCGAGAGACCCGGGTTCGATTCCCGGGGCGAAAAGTTTCTTTACTCCGCACACACACACACACACACACACACGCGCCTCTGTTACCCACAGCGGTAAGTCGGAACCCGGTGGTTAGTCGATTGACGGATCGCTTTCCGCGGGTGGGGTGGAGGGGGTGTTAATAATTCCTTAATAATAATAATTTCGCAGAAACATACCGGTAAAGTGGAGTGACTGTGCGTTTTGTGGGCGAAACGCGGCAGCCGGTTGCGCGCAAAAAAGTGTCTCCACAAACAGTCGCGGACTGAGAGTGACCGACTTTTAATCATTATTGTTTTGGGAGGGATTAGTGAGATCCAGTTGCGCGATATCGCGGGGAAAAAAAAGAGAAGGAAGTTTTTCTCTCTCTCTCTCTCTCTCTCTCTCTCTCTCTCTCTTTTTCCGGAGCTGTAACAGGGGGAGGTCTCAAAAGCTCGTGAAATCCAACAAGTTAAACCAGTTGCCCTTTGCGTCATTAGAAACTTAAAGCAATTAAAAGCAAAACTGCTTAAAATAAAATAAATAAATAAAGCTTGGCAGGCACAAGTGGGGGCTGGATAATTTCCCCCTTCAGCGCCGTTTAACATTCAATCCCAGATCTTTCCAGACACAACCCAGTTATTGTTTGTTGAGGAGAGAGTGGAGGGAGAGAGTTGTGGGTGGGGGGGGGGGGGGTGGAGAGAGACGGTTATTAAGTTAATTCGCACGGGCTGGGGGGGGGCGAGGGAAGGGGTGAGGGGGGTTGGGGTGTTGGAGGGGGGTGGAATGCCCACAATACTCCGTAACAAAAGGCCCTGTTATTTCCCCAACCGCCTGTAAAATAAAGGTGACGGATTAAATGAGCGTCGAGAGGCAAACCCTGATCGGAAATAACCGAACGCGGCACAGTTTAACGAGCAAAGTAAAAATCAGGAGAGCTTCACACCCAGTGTTATTATTCACAGAGAAATGATTATTCCGCCACACTGACCAGCGCCTCGGGACGTCCTCCCGATGCTGAAAGGCACTGCAGTGAAATTCCCATCCGTCGTGTCAGTCGGGATCCTGTTATATTTGATATGACTTGGAGAGCGGCGTTTGGGAGATGATTAAATAATAACGACCCTCACATTCGATACAGCGCCTGATCACGTCGTCGAGACGTCTCAAAGCGCCTCACAGGATGCACTGTAAAGTGAAGTGACTGTATGTTTTGTGGACGAAACGCGGCAGCCGATTGCGCGCAGCAGCGTCCCCCGCAAACAGCCGTGGAGTAGCACGATTAGTGCAAAAAATCTAAGTAGTTTTGACAGGAAACGGAACGGGACTCGAGTGCAGGTACTTAAGTCATTACACGATTTGCAAAGATAAGATTTATGTGAGTTTTTACACTGTATATCAATGTAAACTTCTTGTTGCAAACCCTCTCGAGTCTCATTATTAATGACAATAAAATCTTTACGTTTGATACATGTCTTTCACATCAGGACGATGTCTCAAAGTACTTTGCAGGATTTCACTGTGTAGTGTAGTGACTGTGTATTCTGTGGGCGAATGCCTTTAAAAAGACACTTGATGCTGTTTTCATGGATATTCGTAACATTATTATTATCATTATCATTATCTTCAATAAATAATTCTTGCTTTCGTTACAGCTTCTTTCACATCAGGCACAGGTCTCAAAGCACTTCCCAGAATTTCACTGTAAAGTGTAGTAACTGTGTGAGAGACAGAATGAGAGAGAGAGAGAGAGAGAGAATGAGGGAACGAGCGAGAAAGCAAGCAAGCAAGAGAGAGAGAGAGAGCAAAAACAAACAAGAAAGAGAACATAGGAGCGAGCGAGCGAGAGGGGGGGAGAAGAAGCGAGAGAGAGACACAGAGAGAAAGAGCGAGAGAGATTTAACGGTCACTGCATCTCTCTATTCCGGTTTGAAATTAATCTGAACAGGACACGGAGAGAGAGAGGGAGAGAGAGAGAGAGAGAGAGAGAGAAAAACCTCCCATTAGAGGGCTTACTTGCCTGTGGGGTGTTTGGTAGACGTTGTACCTCTCTGATGTCTGATTGATATTTATCCCATCAGAGAGAAGACCAGAGAGAGGGAGAGGAGAACTATGAGGAGCCTGGCCCACACCGCACATCATTCAATTAAACCTCCCACACAAGTGCCGGTCAGAGCCACAGTTAATAACACGCTCAGTACCAGCCACCGAGCCTTAATCACTGGGTGGGTTAGAAACAGAGGCAGATAGGAACACCAGCCCATTCATCCCATCACACCATCTAATGCAGCCCACCACCATCCAGCCCTAATCGCCATCCCTTTGCCCCCGAGAATAATAATTAATACCATTTGCATTTGATCCAGCGCCTTTCATGTCAGGAGGACATCCCAAAGCTCTTCACAAGAGTAAGGAAAGTTGCCTAAGGTTTCACCCTGACCTGATCCGCCCGGGAATCGAACCCGGGTCCTCTCGCTTGTGAGGCGAGCGCTCTAACCACTGAGCTACAGGGACTCCACCACGAATAGTATTTTATTCTTATAGCGCCTTTCAAGTCGGGAGGATGTCCCAAACACACCTTTTCAATTACATCTTCAGCACAGAGACAGCAGGACAAGAGGACAGGGGTTTAGAGTTGCAAAGGGACAATTTCAGGACAGAAACCAGGAAGTTTTTCTTTACCCAGTGGGTAATTAACGAGTGGAACAGGGTTACCAGCAAGTGGGTTGAGGTCAGGAGACTGGGACTTGCTTAAAAAGCAGCTCGATACTGCGTTGGGAGGATGGTGGGGGCTGTGGAGAGATGAGATCAGATGGGCTCAAGGGCTTTCCTTATCCAAACCAATCTTGTGATGGTGTCAACAACTGCTGGAGGATTGAGGTGTGGGGAGGGCTGACCCTCGAGGGTGGGTTACAGCCCAGGGCCAGATGATCTCAGTGGCTTTTAGACTGAATTCTCCTCCCAGCATTAACACACAGGGGCCAGAACATACCTTCACCTTTTAAGCGATTTCAGGACAAAGCGATGGAAGTCTCCGTTTACAAAACACCTCTCGGCTTGGGAACATCCGGCAAGTTACCAAAGCACCAGAACGACTTGCGTATAGAAAGCGATTCATTCGCAAAGGACGTACAGCACAGAAACAGGCCACTCGGCCCAACCAGTCGGTACTGACCGAAGAGAGAGAGAGAAAACTCCCTTCGCTTTGACCGAAGGCACGGTTGAAGGAGAACGTGAGAGGAGGAGTGAGCTGGTGGGGGTTTGGGAAAGAATTCCAGACAGACAGAGAGAGAGAGAGAGAGAGAGGGAGAGGGCTATAATGTTTTTGAGGGCAAGAGAGAAACTTCTTGATCTAATTAAAGCACCTGCAGGTGTAGACGGAGCCAGGGGTCAGGTTCAGACTCTATATGGAAATTCGGTGGAAAAGCAACATGAACACGTGCGGAAAGCCGACAACAAAACCACAATGAGGGGTTCTGTGCAGCAGCTGTAAAACGTGACACGGAAATTACTTCGTTTCTTCTTAAAGGGCGAGGATCAAGTCAGCCTGTGTGGCTCAGTCGCTCGCACATTCCCCTCTAAGTCAGGAGGTTGTGGGTTCGAGTCTCCCCCACCCCACACACACACACACACACACGTCGGGGGCTCGGTGCTCACTGGCTGATGTTCCAGCGTAGCGCTGGGCGGAGAGAGAGAGAGAGAGGAAGAGTGAGAGCGAGAGAGAGAGAAAGGGGAAGAGTGAGAGAGAGAGAGAGCGCATTGTGTTGTCGGAGACGCCTTCCTTTGGATGAGACGTTAAACCTCACTCCCCGTCTGTGCCTTGTTGAATGAACGCAACCCCCCCCCCCCCCCCCCAACATAAAATCAGTCGCCCACTCATTTCGTGGCTGTTTGCGGGGATGGCGTTGTGTGCAAATCGGCGCACAGCGACTGCGCCTCACGGGGAAATAAAAAGCTGCGCCGAATGCGAGAATTATATCAATCGTAATTCATAATAGCAGCGCGGATTAATAATTAACAGCAGCTCCAACAAACTCAGGCACTCTCCTCTCCCCCCCACCCCCCCTCCCCATCCCCCACCCCCCCCCAGTGCTGAGCTGGACTGTGAGCTTAAAGTGATCCTCGTTAAAATCAAACCCCTTCTCTCTCTCTCTCTCTGTGTGGGTTGTTATTTGCAACCATCTCGTTATTCCCCGCGCCCCCCTCCCCCACCCCCCCACTGTGAGTAATCACCGTCTGGAACATTAATCTTCCCCACCTCTCAGGGTGACAGGTTGGGGCGAGAGCAGTGTCCAGGTGTGTGCGTGTGCGTGTGTGTAGCCAGATGGGTTCCCTGTGTTTATGTGGCTTCATTTGCCACTGCGGTGCGGAGTGTCAGGGCTGGGGGGCCCTGGGCTGAAAAGGACCAAGGCATCACTCACCTTCTCAGGAACGCCAGGCCAGACAATGAGCGGACGCAGAGTGAATAGACAGCGGGTTAAGTCCGCGGTCTCGCTCGCTGACAGCTCGGAGCTAGCAAA